GCTAAATGTTAAATATTTCATAAAATACATCGGTTTAGGATAACAATCGAGGTCAAAGTCCTATGGAATGGTTCCACGGAAAAAAAATAAATAAAAAACATGGAATCATAAGCATACAAATTTCCACTCCGCTCGACCTAAAACACACATTTTAAGGAGTGATGACGATGTTCTTGTTCTTCCCATTTCAAATGCTATAGATGAAGCTTTCAAAGCAAAACACACAAGCAATAAAAGCCTTTCATGAGAGGTCCGCAAATGAGTTGTCAAACGGAAACTACAACACAATCCTCCTCGATCACCAACTCCTCTCGCGTCTAGTGAGAGTGGCTCGTTGCACAATCCATGAGCTAACACAAGTAAAGTTGGTCACTTAATCTCATAATTATATCGTATGTAAACCGTAATCATTACTTCATTAGTATAATAAAGTTTTAATATTCTTTCAATTTTGCGTATTGCGCAAATCGTCATAGAGATAGAGCCGACCCTAAGAAATAAAGGGGTTTAAGTAGAATTGGCTCAATAGCAATTTAATGTACACATATAGTTTAGAAATTTCCATTAAGAAATGAAACCAACATCTCTTTTTCATTTCTAAAACTTTTATCAACAGAGCTATTGACACTTTTCCAAAAATAATGGCCTCTAAATTTGATAACACATCAAAAACCATAAAGCCCATGCTTGACCAACTTGTAACGGAAGGTAAAATTATATCTATTTATGACTTGGCGACGAGAAAGTTTTCAAAGTTGATAATACAACACATATTCACATGCCGGCTTGTTTAGTTGTCTATTTTCTTAGCACAGAAAACCCAATTGATCTTGATAAATATATCTAAATCTTTAAATTGTTATTGAAAAAAAAAAGAGATTCGATCGACAACAAATGAAATGACTAGTATTCTATAATCTAGAGCTCAATCTAGTTCTTCTCATATAAAAGTCAAATCCTAATATATCATTCTTTCTAGAATTTGTTTTCTTTTGAAGATACAATTATATCTGGTCTATGTTTCTGTCGTGTTTGTCAACACCAAAAATTATAACTCTGATTTATGATGCCGGAACATTCACTCTTTCCAGTCGTATATCGTCATGATGCAATTAGGAGACTCTTCTCAAAGACATGTCAAAGTCATATATAGTTAAAACAGTTTGGTCTCACTCGCATATTTTGGCAGAGTCTTCACCAATTATATATCTGCATATACGAAATACAATTATGAGTTTGTAACGATGGATGTAATTAATAAATGAATAATGAGAGCAAGTGATTTTTGTATAGAGTTATAGAATGAAAACTAGTCTCTCTTTTTTTGCCTAATCAAACATGACCTCGCGGAAGTAACAGGGGTAATGTCGAATATATACAATGTTTTGTTTTAAAAAACATGTGTGAAGCCTATGAATTCTCAATATAGGATGAAATTAAGGAAATAGATAAAAAAATTTCCAAAAACTCATTTTTGTGTATTTACCAAAAATAATAATTAATATATTTAATATAGAAAAATTCTGTGATGAACAACAACCAATTGAAAATTGAAAATACTATGTAAATAAAGAAAAAAACACAAGAAAGTAGTGGTTATAAGATTAGACGAAACCTAAGACTAGTTTCTCGGAAATTTCGAAATATCAAACTAGCCGTGGGATAAATGTGGACCCATACCCTGAAAGTAAAGTCAAGACGTGATGGTTTCTATCAACAAGGTCGTTCGGAGGTTAACAGGTATAGTATTAGAGCAAGACCCATACGAGAGTGTCTATCTCTAAGTGTTCGCACCTCCTGGCAAATAGAACGTCATGTTAAACGACTTGTAATATTTCAATGCCTGAATAGAATAGTGGGGGTGGGACATGTGAAAACCTTAATAATGATTTCACAACTTTTGACTTTTGTAAATAAAGTACGCTATTGTCATTCATATGGTTATTTATTTGCATAGCAAGTTGACAATTCTTGTGATCATTTTCGAAATAGAATTAGCTTTTTGATCAAATATAACCGAGAGTGGGCCGGGAGACACGGAGCTCACATAAGGGGATGGTTGAGACGGTAACATATTTGGTATTGGTTTCTTCCATATATGATGAATTTAATAAGTTACAAAACTAAGAAGTTTACGAGGTAAGGACCATTTCAAAAAAGAAAGGCACAAGTTCGCTTATGTAACTTAGTTTCTAGATGATACGACCATTGGAATCACAGGATCGTTTCAACATCCACTAACTTATAATATATGGTAAGGTGAAGCGGCTCTTTGACCTTGTAAATCCAGATCGTGGAATTTCTTTTCTCTATAAAATATTTAATAATAGATTTTGAAATTTTAACCAACCACTCTAAAGAAATTACTCTCTTTTTTTGGACTAATGGTCTGAAAGTTTTCAGAAAGTGTTCTCGCCTCAGTCTTGATGCGATTTGGTCGTACGCAGGAAAGTAATGTGACACTTCTTTTTCAAAAAAGAGAGGTAATGTGACACTTCAACGTGTTGTTTTCATATTGTGTTTCTGGGAAACATATTATCACATTCTCAAAATAATCTTTTAATTCTTAAGAAGATTTTATGTCAAAGTTTCTAATTCTTTTTTCATCGGCTTTGAAATTTGACAGTTATAATATGTCATGACATGAGTAGTAAATAAAATTCTACTTGTCATTTATGCATCAAATGCATTAATTTTTTAATAATAAATACTTTACTTAAAAAAAAAAGTTATGTGTGCCGACAACTAATGGTTTTTTTTTTTTTTGTCATGAACACATTTCTCCTATTGACTAACCAAATACATTAGTATCAGGAAACCAATACAGAACCGAAGTGCTGATTGTAGAAAAGATCAAATTCCGTTGACGAGCGTTCCTAGCTAGTAGGTCCGCCTTCTCATTCTGATCCCGTGGACAATGTACCAGTGTAAAGTCCGGGAAGTAATCTCGAATGATCGTCAACTCGACTAACTCACACTTGAATCGGGGCCGACAACTAATGGTTCAGATGAGAAAATGTTACATCAGTATTTTAAAAGTAAATATGTTGTGTGATCTTTGACATATAGGAGTGAACACAATGAATTCCACTGTGATATTTTTTTTTGTTTAACTGGAAATGGTAAACAGATTTGGTGATGAAATATGCTTTGATTCACACCAGCTTCTTGTTCCCAATTTAAATAAAAAACATATTTCCAAAAGAGTCAAAGATGTCGTCTAGAAGGAAGAAAGCAGAGCAAGTCTTGTGGAGTACTAGTAACCCAACGCTTTAACATATCCGTACAAAATCCTCTGCCTTAATAAGTATTTATAGCTGCATATGTTTCCCAACCAAACCCAACACTCAATAACTTGTCTCGCAATTTAAAGACTTAAAAATCATTTCTCTTAGTATATTTTACTCTTCAACAAGACAAAACAAAGATGGAGTACTCATGCATCTTCTTTTTGTTCATCATTTTCACCATTAATGTTTCGCTTTCCAGTGGTGCTACAAGTTATCGAGAAGTTGGTACGTAAGCTTTGGATTTCTCTATATAGATATCTATATCTTCCAAAATAATTATGGTTTATGACAATCTTGA